ATGCAACTGCTATTAATGCTTAGGCAGGGACATGTGACTTCGAGACTAAAGCTAGTGATATAGATGATACTGCTCCTGCTTCAACAGAGTCATCTGTGCACACTGGCGAAGAGTTCCCTAGAGGGCCCAGTGATCGTTGAGTGCTTCCAGGATATGCTGATCATGTGGCATATCGATTTTGGAAGGGAAAAGTATATAATTTTTTTATATTACCTTAATTTATTTATTATTGATACTTAATGTGTTGAAACTAAATGGTGATTTTTTTAAACTTTGTTTGTTACAGAACCGTACCACGCTAAAGGTGACATTCCACAGGTCAAAGATGAAGAGGCTTTCAAATACTCTGATGCCTGAGTTGGTCTGGAAGATTATTGATGATTACAGTCTCATGTCATTGGCCGACTGCTCACTCACCATGCTTGATGTTTCACTCATGACTGCCTTTGTTGAGCAATGACACAAGGAGACATATTTCTTTCATTTTCTGTTTTGAGAGGTGGCTATCACTTTGTATGATGTCTCATCCCTGATCCATCTCTCAATCCCTATTAAATTCTTCATCGCTCTTGTTATTAACTAGGAGCTTGAATGTATCAGGGATACACAAGATTTGGGAGTTATTGAAGAGGCAATGATCAAGGAGTTTGCATTTAATAAGGGAGCTCACTTTCGTATGTCTTGACTTCAGAACAGGTATGCCGAACTTGTGGAGCGGCAGATGTATGAGGAAGTTGTAAGGGTATACATGTTATATCTAGTAGCATGTACTATCTTTGCAGATAAGTCTCATGTTTATATTAATGCTCGGTAGATGTGGTTGTTCAATAGCCTTGAGCATGCCAATTAGGCTTGCGGATGTGCTTATTGACTGTCATTCACGCAACACTTGGAGATGCGGTTGCTGACTATATGAGTCTAATCCAGATATATTAAAATTATGATTTATTTATAATCTAATTTTTATTTAATTGTTATGTATGACTTTTCTTGATTTGTATATGTTCTTTAATTAGTGATGGATATAGGGGAATTTCCCCACCATTTGTGACAGGAGGGTGCACCCTACCCATGTTGGCACCCCGTAGGCAAAGAGATAGAAGGTCAGGCAAGCAGATCCAAGTGGTGTTCCAAAGTACAGAAGGAGGCTTGATGCATTTACAATATAGGATGTTATCTGGATACCTTACGCAAATCATAGAGTCCATCATGAGTTTTATGAGTCTTCTCTATTTTATGGTAATATATAGTGGGAGACTTTGATGGCTAGACACTTACCTGAGAGGTGTATGTGCCAGTATGGGTATTGTCCATGGCATCCAACGACCAATTCCTAAGGTTCTAGATGAGGGAATTGACATATGGTTTCAGGGTAACATCATCAGCTCTTCTCTTTCCATTAGAGATGATGCATTGGAGGTTCATCACTCTGCACAGTGTGAGGATGGTTACCTGGAGCGGTACCTTATTGTATCATACCCTCACATCATCCCACATGTTGAGTATACATATGATGATATGTCTTTCGATGTTGGGGGACCTGTAACACCCTTTTCTACCCCACGAATATTATGGCAAAATAAGATAATTTATAAGAGTAAAATGTTAAACTCAATAAAAATCACCTCAAGGGCGTACATTTCTCAATAAATTCAATTCAAGGTTAAAACTCCGTAAACAATGAGTTTTCCCAAAAGATATCAAAAATTGCAGCGGAACTCAAAAGGCATAATCCAAAGTTTTCCTTATACTGGGACATAATCAAAATAATCAAATCAAATAAATCATGGGTTAACTCAAAGACCCCAACCCGATGTTACACTATCAAAGCAAGACCCTCTACGTTAACCAAAATGGCCAACAACTCAAAACTCCGAAAAGATCCTCGACGGCATCCACGGTTAAACCTGGCCATCTTCACGTTACCCACGTGGAGGCAACATTCAAACAGGCAAGGTGAGTAAAATGATTCATAATAATCAATGTAGGAAATCAACATATGAAATGGCGTCATTTTCATATTAAACATCACCATATTCATCAATAGGCATCAAAGGCCACAACATCATAAATTACTCAAAGTCATCTCATAAATGCAAATGCAACAAGACTCAATGCATGTGGTACCAATCATCACAGCTCGATGGACATTGGGCCACCAACCCTCCATAGATCCCCATCAATAGGATCGATTCTACTCGAGAACCGGAGCACATCAAAATACCTCACAACCGCACAATGGGATTGAAGCCAAAGTAATCAAGGTCCTGAACCGAAGTCCGGATGCACATGAATGCATGATACACATGTCAATAATCATCCTTATAATAACATCATAGGTGCATCATCATTCATCATAATCAGCATCATCACAATCATCATCGTATATCATGTCATCATAGAATCATCAAAACTCATGGAAATATCATCATAGCTTATCATCATTAAATCATAGGAATCATCATATAATCATGTACTAATCACATAGAATCACAGCCATACTCATGGTAATTCATCATACTATCACATATTAATCACATAGAATTCACAATTATACTCATGGTAATCGTCATACTATCACATATTAATCACGTAGTAATCATAGTCATACTCATGGTAACTCATCAAAGAAATCACAACATCAAAACATCAAGGCATCACTGCACAAGGTCAGAATTCGCAAAACTCTGCTACGTTCGCTAGCAAGTTCGTTGTGCGAGTCTGTGACGAGTTTCTTCGTTGTGCGAAGGATTCTTCGCAGTGCGAGTCTGAGACGAGCTTCGTTCGCTATGCGAACACGCGATGACAGTGAAACGCTGTTACGCACCAGAACCTAAAATCAACCCAAAAGTCCCGCGATTCACTTCCCCAATGCCCCCAAAACATCCCTAAATCATCCCTAAATCATCCCTAAGGTCTTACGCCGATAAAGGCATAAAACATTCGGTTTATTAGGCCAATCCCGCATCATGTTCACGCTCTAAATCTCATAAATCTCTACCACTACACCATAATCATCAGAGTTCCTCACTATCTAATTTTCCTACAGGGTTAGGAAAATGTCAAATCAGAGTTTTGGCCATGAAGGCCTAATTTCCCTTAACCCAAACAAATCCCTACGGTTAAAATCTCAATAATAGATTTAGGCCACTAAGGCCAAATTCCCTTTATCTCATAAATCAGCCTCAAACCCTTTAAACCCTTAAATCGGCCTTAAATACATTGAAATTATACATTGAAAACAATGAAGGCAATACTCCTCATACCTTAATTGTCGACTCTGAGCCTTCTATAAATCTTTCAGAAAATCTTTCGGAGCTTTTGCCTCAAACCTCCTCCTCAGAGCTCTGACCTCAATTCTTTTCACGGTCTAACAAAATGAATCATAATCCCATCACAATTCCCTTTTTATTAAACCTAACCTTGGGCCTTAAAATTGGGCTTTCCAATATTACCCTCACTAACTCCTCCTCAATTGTCCAATTTGCCCTTAGTTAACTTATATTTATTTAAATTAATAATAATACCAATATATTCATATTATATATTATTATTTAAATAAATAACCCAAAATCCATAATTCTCAATATTACACAACAACCACCGAAATTTACCAAAATGCGAATATTCTTATTTAAATAAATTAAATAAATATTCCAATAAATTTGAAGTGTTACAGGACCTGTTGATGACGTGTCAGTACCTCCACCTGGTGTTGATGACTAGCAGCGCCTATAAATGATCGTTGTTATTACAGATAACCTCATAAGTTTGGTGATGGTGAGCTTTATACCGGATTATCGCAAGCAGAAAACATAGCTCGTGGGAGACATATTTAGATATTTGATTTTACATTTGTATTATTTGTATATTTTGTGACTCAACCTATTTAGCACCATACTTTTTTTTACATAATATTTTGTCAATTACATGTTTGGAAGAGGAACATAACTTAACACATTACAACTAACATAAATTAACAATAATACATAACAAAACTTAGGCACTATACGATAATTCTGGGTATTTTAACATCTTGATTATGTTGTTGACAGATCTAGAAAATTTTGATTCAAACTCTATCGGTCCCTTAGTTAGCATACAATGAAATGTTTTAACATAACTTTCAAATCTTCATTGGTTTTCAACTCAATAAGTTCGTATTTCACATTTCCTCAATATCAATCCAGTCACCACGAAATTCGATCTTACCCACCTTTCTATTCTCGATGTCGGACGACATATCATTCAACTTGAATCTCAAGACGGCGAGGCAAGGTGTGCCTTTCGGAAGCTGAAACTCTACAGGGGGTTTCTTCCCGTTGAAGTACACTTTTGCCTTAAATAAAAATTGAGGCATTGTAAGATAATTTTTTTACGAACACATCCTATTTATATAATTTTAGATTCATTATGAACCACACAAAACGGTCGGTGCAATTAGAACCGTATAAAATTGTTGAGAAAATCGTAACCGATAAAAGATTAAACTATCGAAAAAAATTTATTAATTTGCAATGTCACATTATATTTCTTAAAGACACTACTATTCTTTCAAAGATATCGGTCTTCTAATAAAAAAAAGAGTACAATTTTATATCGCCAATTTTAAAATGAACTACCGGAATTATAGAATACTGTTGGAAATTTTCATGTAAATACCAAAAATTTAAGTCGTACATTTTAATTCAATTTTGTCCAAGGCCAGTTTTAGAATTTAAAAAAAAAATATTTAAGGGTGTCAGGTAAGGTGGCGAGTTAAATTCTCGTTTTAGGCTATTGGATCTTTATTGAACAGTTGATATTACAGTTTGTAAAACCATTGTCTTATGACATAAATTCATCTAAAAACTGAGTTGAAAACTGCATGACAAAAAATCTAGCAAAGGTATATAGATCTGTAAGTAACCGGAGTTTTATCACAATTACAAAGCAACTAAAACAAACACATTATGCTACAAAATTTGAAAAATAATTCACAGTCACTTACTCACCATGCATTATTGATCTGTAACTGAGGACTTAGTTGTTGATCCTTGAGTAAATTGACTTCCTGATCCTGAATCAGTTGATTTTGTGAGACCTGAATATTGATCACTTAATGATATAGATAATGCCCTTTTGGATTGCATTAAAAATGGAGGTTCTGAAGGTTCTGGAAGTGGAAAAGATGTGCTACTAAGCATTAGTAAAACAGAACTCATACTTGGTCTCACATCTATATCTTCTTGAACACACAGTAATCCAACATGAATGCATCTCTCTTTTTCCTTATTAAAACCTTGCTCTAATATTGAATCTACAATATCTAAACTTGTCCCTGTCTTCCAATTTTCCCAAGCCTGCAAAAAATATATATATACAATTGAAAAATTTACAATCAAAATTTAAAACTAGAAAGTTTTTATAATGGTTAAAAGTTCTGAAACTTACATTGTCTAATAGATCTTTTATATTTTCCCCGTCACGAACCTTGGTGTTTCTGCGGCCACAGACAATTTCTAAAATAATTACACCAAAGCTGAATACATCTGATTTGATTGAGAATTCTCCATGTTTGATATACTCTGGAGCCATATATCCACTACATACGTCAAAACAACAATGTTCGATTGTTAATTAAAAATAACTACTTATTTGAAAATTGAAAAATATATATAGTCAAGTATTTTCTTAATACTTACTAAGTTCCAATAATCGTGCTTGTCATGCCATGGGTTTGTTTGGCGGCGAACAATCTTGCAATGCCAAAATCTGTAATTTTTGGGTTCATATCATCATCTAGTAGAATATTACTTGTTTTAAGATCACGGTGAACAATTTGTAGTCGAGAATCTTCATGAAGATAGAGAAGACCACGAGCAATATCTTTAATGATTTTGAAACGTCTTTCCCAATTTAAATTCGCACGTTTGATTGGATCTACATAATCATCCAAACCATAAATTATGGATATAATATTTCAAATATAAAGTTGGAGAAAATATAGTACTTTACCAAATATGATATAGTCGAGACTTTTATTAGAGACAAACTCGTATATTAGCAGTCTTTCTCCTCTATGTAAACAAAAACCTAGTAGTTTAACTAAATTTCGATGTTGAAGCTTTCCTGTAAGTAATACTTCATTTTTGAATTCTGTTTCTCCTTGCTTAGAATTGTTATCCAACCTTTTGATAGCAACATCATGTCCATCGAGTGTACCCTAAAATTAATCATAAGTTTTAGTGTATATAGATTAAGAAAAATATCTTGATATATGCATGTGTTTCAATAAAAAAAAAAAAAGGGGACAATTTTTTACCTTATAAACAGTTCCAAATCCACCTTGACCAAGCGCATTTGCATCAGAAAAGTTGCTTGTAGCTAATTTGATGGTTTCAAAGTCAAATTGCAACAAATCACCAACTTTAAGATCATTGCCAGCTTTAACTTCATCTTCATCTTCATATGTCTCTTGGACTGGCCATGTGTTTTCACAAATATTTTATTATTTTTGTCTTTCTTTTTTATAATTGATGTTATGACATAATCAACAACTTTTGGTTATAATAAATAATCAACAACTCTTGGACTGGGCTAATATTTAGAGATTAAGAAATTTACGCGAAGTTCTAGTGAGAAAGTTTCACATCGCTTATAAAAGGGTGAAATATTATTTATAAGAGAGATTATTCATATATATATATATATATATATATATATATATATATATATATATATATATATATATATATATATATATATATATATATATATATATATATATATATATATATATATATATATATATATATATATATATATATATATATATATATATAATGTCTTAATGTTTTGAATAGAGATTGATGTGATGACTCTCTCTTATAATTCTAGAATATTATTCTAGAATATTAGACTTATAAAAAAAGTGTCTTATATACTTAATACCTTAAAAATTTTGGGTGGAAACGAAACTATATACAACTAAACCTAAATTAATCATAGTTATTCCCTTGAAGACACACAATTAGCATTGGCCACTTTATCTTAAATGTTATTGACTTTTTCTTCTTATCTCAACCAAAATAGCCATATCATAAAAAACTTGATGAAACTTATTCAAACCCTCTGAATATTCATTATTGGCTCGTGCCTAATATAAGATCCCATATCACCAAAATAAATTTCTCAGCCAAAAGCTCAACTTTGAAACTCTCGATACCATGTTCTTCATAATCTCGTCACTTGGTACTAGGGCTGGAAATGAGTCGAGTCAAGTCGAACTCACCTCAGCTCGACTCGACTCGTTAAGAATTTTTCGAGTTCGAGTTCGAGTTCGAGTTCAACACGAACTTTTTTTTAAGCTCAAACTCGACTCGTTAAGAATTGTTTCGAGTTCGAGTTCGAGTTCGAGTTCAACACGAACTTTTTTTAAAGCTCAAACTCGACTTGTTATAAGTTCACGAACAGTTTGGTTCAACTCATTAGGATCAGCTCACATGATTCACGGGTTTAAAAACTATTTTTTTTAAATATATATATTTTTTAGTATATTTGACATTTTAAATATATATTTTTTAAAAATAAAATATTAAAATAAAATAAAAATTATCATATTGAAATTTAACTTTATCTTCGAAATCTACTAATTCAAAACTTACACAACTTTCAAGAGATACATTTGAGAGTCTAATTCAAAAACTACTAAGTTGAAGATTAAATTTGTCTAAGATTTAGATTAAATATTTAAACCTAATCTTCAAGACAGTATAATTATTCTCATATGTAATCGAGTTGACTCATGAACCTAACGAGTCGAACTATGTAGAGTTCAAGTTCAGCTCATTTAGTTAACGAACTTAATTTTTCGCTCATACTCAACTCATTAGGTTCATGAACTTAGTTCAACGATCTAATTGTCGAATCGAATTTCGAACTATTTTCGAGTTGGTTCGGTTCATTGTCAGCCCTACTTGGTACCTCACATGTCACCGTATGATCCAACACAATTTTGTTCCGCAAAGATTGAAAATCATTCATCATAGCTTAACCTTCAAACAATTTCTAACAAACACTTTTGTTCTATCAATAATGTTTCCTTCTTTTTAACATTTTAATATGCTTTGATTAGCATTGTTGGAATTTTGAAGAACCTTTATCCTTGCCATGTATTTTTAAATTGAACTATTTGGGTTCATTTTTACCTTCTTTCCATCGTTATTGTTCAAACATTCATCAACAAAATGTGAGGTTTGCATCCGGTTCTTTGTAACCATTTTGCACCATCTCAAATACATTTTGAGCTCCAAACAATGACTTAATTAAGGCATTCCATCTTTCTCAATTACTTTTATCAAGAATCAAGATGTTAGAAGGAAATCCACCATTTGTTTTCATGATTATTGCAAGAATCCATAAAAAACTCACACACCTCAATGTTTCCTAATTCAATGATCCTCTCACAAACAACTAAAAACACATTTTAAATCTTACGATATGTCTTGTGTGTGCTCAAACAAGTAACTTGCTCATAAATCACAATTTTTTTTTCAAATTCACAAGAGAAGGCTTAAGTTATTTACATACCTTCAATTTCAGCCGAATATTCGGATCTTGGCTTTCTCCTTTTAAAATAAATACATCCACCAACAACCACTATGCCAGCTACAACAAATGCCAAAACGATAGCGATGGCCGTTCTTATTTTCCTCCTCTTTCCTAATCAAGAAATAAAAAATATATTCATTCATGTATAATAGAGTATTCAGCATAAATATAATATTGCTTGCTACATAATTCCCATAAAATGTACCTTTAGTGAAAGTTTTAGTGGAAGTTTTAGGAGAAATTTCTTGAGAAGAAGGTTGTGGTGCCGGCGACTCTGTATCTATGGACTGCGAAAACGGAACTATATCGTATCTAACCGAACAACTAGGTCCAAGATACAAACAACCTTTCATTTCTGGACACCACCTTGAAAGATCACCGAAAGCTAAATCCAAACATTTAGTACAATTTTGTTTTGTTAAATCTGGCGTACACTGAACCATACCATGTATAGTCTCATTGTTAGAATTCAATTCATTTACTTTAACACTCTTTTCGTCGAACTTCTTACGCGAATCGCCTTCCGCCGCCGTGCTTTTAAGTTCATCTAGCAAGCCATAAAGTGTTTGATTAAACACATCATCCACCACTGTTTTGCTTTCGATGTTGTAATATTGACCGGTATAAGTATCCATGACACCGGAAATTGATTTGTTCGAATACCGTAAGGTGCATATGTCGTAGTAACCTATCGCCTCTTTCTGTACTGCACACCGATCTGTGAGAAGTACTGCGGAGGTTTTCAAGCAGTCACGGCAGTCGCTTGGATTAATGTCTCCTCTGCAGAATCCGATTGCGTTTACTATGTCGGGATTTTCGCCTTTAGAGAAATTGTAGAATCCATAGTCTATTTCTCTGTTGGAATAAATATCTCTTAGAACGGCGGCAAGGTTGTTTTGATAGGCGCTGCCGCCGGTGTAGTTTCCGAGATCATTGTTACATTTGTGGTACCGGAAAATTAGTTGGTCGTCGGCTTCAGAATTTACGGTGAAAAGGAGAGGAAGAAGTAAAAACAGAAGGTAACGCGAAGAAAGCATAGTACTGTTCTATGAAATTGGTTGTTGTGAAAGAATGACGGAGGAAGTAATGAAATATACATGTTGTGGCAGTTGAAATTATTATCACAGTTAAAAACATGGTCAAATCTTCCATAAAAGTCATCTTGATAAGTAGTTATTCAATAATTGAAGTAATGTCAAGTTGCCAAGTCCAACTATGCGAAAAGTTCAACTAAGACACCAAAAGACAAGTTCAAAGCTACTTTTAAAATGTACTGTACTAACATCTTTTTTTATCAATTTAAATATTAAATATAGTGGAACGATCATTACACTCATGTCTTATTAAATATAAATAGTTGGATGTTCATTACACTCATGTCTTATTCACATATTCCACCAGAAATTTCATATATACTTCTAGATTTAGGATTTTAAAATTCTGAAAAACACATCAAATTCTCTAAAAACATGTTAAATCAAAGGTGAAAAATAAGTTTGAATTTTGGATTTCGGACGCGTCACACCACATCACACCTAAAATATGTTAAACCAAATTTTTGCCTAGTATAAATTTTAGAAATTTTTCGATAAATTGTTCTTTGATTTGTTTCATTTGAGGTTAAAGATAACAATTGTACTCATTAGATATTTGTAAAAATTACCCACAACATGCAGGATAAAACCCTGCAAAATGGATACGAACACGGACAAAGACAATTAGTCACTAAAATAAATAAGTATGGGTGCGGATACAGTTAGAGCCCAACACGCCTCATACGTGCACAATATATATTTATATATTTTTATTTTCATTATTATATACACATGTTAATCTAACAATTTTATTAAATATATCACTGTTAAATTTTTACGTATTTTAATATAAAAGTTTGTTTATTTTTTAACAGAACAATAACATCCTCAATTTTTTAAATGTTATTAAAAACTTAAAATGACCTAATAAATTATAATTGGTCGGTCATTTTTTCATTAAAAATGTAGATAAACGGGTAGGAGTATGAGTACTTAGGTACCCATAGGGTACGGTTGAGTGTAAGTTTTGACTTAAATTGAATCATCTTTCTTTGCATTTTTCAACTCATTTCTCATGTTTTAATAGATTTATTTCTTATTCTTGTGCGATTCTTCAATATATTGCAAATAACTTTGAATTCTTTTATGTGTGTGTTATTGTGCTGAATATAGGCATAAAACATCAATGATTAAGACACAACCGGTTAGAAAAGGAAGTCAAAGAAATGAAGAAGAATCAGCATGTTTGTTGTGCGAACACCAGCGAGCAGCAAGCAAATGTTTGTTGTGCGAACTTCTGGCGAAACCCCAGCGAATCATCTCAGATTAGAGGCAGTAAGAAAAGGACGCAAAGTTCACTGTGCGAAGTTGAAACGAAGCAGTTCGCTGTGCGAAGAAGTGTTTGCGCGACAAACTCAGATATTTTCCAATGGCGATTTAACTGCTTCTGAGGCACTTCAAGTGCCTAAAAGTATACTTCGTTGGACGAATAGTTTGTTCGCTAGGCGAACAAGACAGATTTTGTAAATACTATATAAGTACTTTTCTCACTTTTTAGAAACATATAATATATTTTTTAAATTAGAATTTTATCTCTCTTCATTTCAAGCATATTTTAGAGAGATAAACTCGAACCCTAAGGGGAAGAAGGTAAGATCTTCAATCTCTTATTGGGTTTGGATGTAATATTTTGATATCTTATGTGTTTCTTCTAATTTATGTTTTATGAACTAGTTTTGATTCAATATTCATGTTGTCTTTTAGATTTCATATTTTTGGGTATTGGCAAACCTTTTTCAAACCATGGATATAAAATATTCATCTATCAATGAGCAAACTTTTGACATAGTCTTGTGAGTTGATATTCATTTGCATCACTTTTATTTTATTGTATTGGTTAGTAGCATGAGTAGGATTAACACGGTAAAGACCACGATAATATTTTTGACACGAACGATATTGTGAGGATGCGTGATAATAGAGATGAAGAACTATGTTCACATACATTTAGAAAATTAGTTGAATACATGTAAAAAGGGTTAATCATGTGTACGTATTCTGATCATGACATTATATATTAATTAAATCATTAATTTGATATGTATGTTATTTGAATATCTGTTAGGTCTAAACTCTAGAAATAGATTTAGGTTTAACATTCACGTGAGTATCAGTTCTTAATGCTCTGTGTTGGTTTTATTGCGTGAGACATCACTGATGAGACAATACGGTTGACCTCTCGACTTTGTGTTATACATAACCTCTGTTGTGGGTGACATATGATGGTATTAGACGGACATTTGAGTTGTGTATAACATGATCAAAAGAATGCATGTCTTATCAATTGATGAGATTCAATCCCAACAAGGCTCCGTTTATATTTTCAGTCTTTACTTTATATTTTCTGTCTTTATATTTTATGTCTTTATTTATGGTTCCTTTGACATTTTAACCAATTTAATCAAAACAAGCTTAGAAATATAGAGATCGCTGAATGAAGTTCTTTCCCTCGCACCGACCCCTATGGAGACAATATAAATCCCTGAGGGAATCTTTCCAAATCTAAATTTTTACTTCTTGTCGCTTTACTGCAGCTCTAACAAAATGGTGTCGTTGTCGAGGATTGGTGTTTAGATATTGAGTGCACTGCAATAGTTTCTATATTTTTTAGCTTTGTAGAGAATATCTACTTGTTTCCTTTTACGTTTTCTCAAGTGTTGGTAGGAATAAATGATGAGAATTCATTCTAAATTGGTTGCTATTTGTATAAAAGTATCCAATAAAGATTTTCTCAAGTCTAGATGGTGATGGTGGGATGTTGAACATGTGAATGCAAGCCAGGTAAATTGTACCGCTTTATAGAATGCTAGAATGTTTAAGATTTTTTTTCTTTGCGCAAATGTAATTTTATTTCATTTTGCAACTTTGTTTGAATGCTTGTATCACTTAGGTTTCAATAACCACAAATTTGTGAGAAACCTCCATTGTTTACTAAATGCATAGAATGACTAATAAATCTTGTTGAATACATTTGATTCATGTTTAATCTTGTGATTATTTTGATTTTGTGAAAGCATTAGAAATGATCAAGGCATTTGTTTATATTGAGCACGACCATATCTAAAAAGTAACTTACCCGTGAGTAGTGAGTATTTGTTAACCCCTTTGAGCCTAAACAGTTTATATCTCATTTTAGTGATGAACTTGGTTATGTACATAATTTGAAACTTTAGTTCATCTTTGAATTTTGTGAGATTCTAAAAAAAATATTTCTTGAACCTTTGAACAATATTTTAAATTGATTTCCTTGTCATAAAAAAGTAAGGAGCAGTCACTTGAAGTTTGGTAGAATTCAAGTTGGGTAGAATGAAAAGAAAACTGGTGGGTTACTCAAAATTTTGAAAAAGTCCAAACAAGCATTGAAAAGAAAAAAATGTGAATATGAATGTGAAAAACAAAAGAAAAAGAATGCTTGTTTGAAAAAGAAAAATAGAGAATGAAATAACTGTGCAAATGAAAGTTTGAGAAGATTTGCAATTGAGGAAAGAAAAGGGGGAAAAGAAGTTGGGATGTATAAATACCATGTATAGTGAATGTTTCTTTTGCATTGACAATTTCAATTCAATGGCTGTTAGAAATGACCTTTTGTTGTGAGCCTGACCAAGCTACAACCTTAAAATCCCTTAGTGATCTTTTTACTTCCATTGTTTGTCAAGCGAGTGAAATTGCCCCGCAGTTAAAACACGTTAAGTTCCTCATTCTTATTTCGATTTCCTCATTCTTATTTTGAAGAGGAGCGTTAGAGTGATTCAAGTATGAAAAATTAGTTGTTATTTGAAACATTTCATGATATTTGTTTAAGAACTAAATTATTTGTCATTGTTCGTTTCTATTGAGTGGTGAACATTGTTTATTTGCATTATCTTGCTTCACCAAATCCTTTTGCTTGAGCAAATTTCTCTTGTTTTCTTGAGGGACATATTTTGCTTGAGGACAAGCAAAAATCTGGTTGGGGAGAGTTTGTTAAGTGTAAATTTTGACTTAAATTGAATCATCTTTCTTTGCATTTTTCAACTCATGTCTCATGTTTTAATAGATTTATTTCTTGTACTTGTGTGATTCTTCAATATATTGCAAATACCTTTGGATTCTTTGATGTGTGTGTTATTGTGCAGAATATAGACATAAAACATCTATGATTAAGACACAATCAATTGGACAAAGAAGCCAAAGAAATGAAGAAGAATCAGCATGTTTGATGTGCGAACACCAACGAGCACCAAGCAAATGTTTGTTGTACGAACTCCCGGCAAAGCCCCAGCGACCATCTTAGATTAGAGGCAGTAGGAAAAGGACTCAAATTTCGTTGGGCAAAGTTTAAGCGAATCAATTCGTTGTGCAAAGAAGTGTTCACACAGAGAACTTAAATATTTTCCAAGGGAGGTTTAACTGTTCCTTAGACACTTCAAATGCCTAAAAGTAGACTTCGTTGGGCAAATAGGTTGTTGGCTAGGCGAATATGACAAATTTTATAAATAATGTATAAGTACTTTTCTCACTTTTTAGAAACATATAATATATTTTTCAGATCAGAATTTTATCTCTCTTCATTTCAAGAATATTTTAGAGAGAGAAACTCAAACCCCAAGGGGGAGAAGGTAAGATCTTCAATCTCTTTTGGGTTTAGATGTGATATTTTGATACTTTGTTTATTTCTTCTAATTTATGTATTGTGAACTAGTTTAATTCAATATTGATGTTTTCTTTTAGATTTCATATTTGTGGGTATTGACAAACATTTTTCAAACCATGGATCTAAGATATTCATCTATCAATGAGCAAACTTTTGACATAGTCTTGTGAGTTGATATTCATTTGCATCACTTTTATTTTATTATGGTGATTAGTAGCATAAGTAGTATAAGTAAGATTAACACGGTAAAGATCACGATAACGTTTTTGACACAAGCGGTATAGTGAGGATGCGTGATAATATAGATGAA